GGTCGCTCGGTCACGGGCCAAATCGTGGACTATGAAAGCAGCCAAAGACATAGAATCTATACTACTAAGCGCAGGTTAGCCACGCAATAGGATCAGGCGTAGGATCGGTCCGGATTGCTTAGTAAAAATCGCCACATCAAGTGGGCACAATGCCTCGCTGCCATTCCTTTTCAGCATGCATTTTGATGTTCCGCGTAAATCTCGTCCTGCATCCACTACTGATTGAAGACTGAAGTGGTCTCATGAAAGATCGTTTTGTATTATCAGAACGTTGTGGTGTACGGATGGGAGTTGCGCCTAATGAATAACGACCTTGCGTCACCAAGATTCGCTTGTCGGACAGGCGTGTTTGGCCAGTTTATTGACACAATAAACGGTAGTAAAAAATGAACTTTACTCTTTCGATGAGATGTATTGTATTAATCAACCCTTCTTCAATCAATCCCCATTGCTACTTCCTTCTACAAATGAATTCTCATATAAGGTATTTTCTTCATTCCTAACCCTTCGACTACTTACCCCCTTCATTCAGTCTTCCAATTTGAAATTAAAAACTTTTCACTTTTCTTTTCATATCTACGGTGAACCCTTTCGAGTGTCTCTCGACCTCTTCCTTTCTAACACGAACGATTTTCCTTACTTGAAACACGACCTGAAATCTTTTAGCTTTTACCGGCTATAGCTAAGCTTTTTTACTGGCTCCTACCCATAGGTAACAGCGCCTGCTCCGTTCTCCATTTGTCCATCCACCTTTCACCTGCCTCAGTCTTCTACCTCTACTATTTCTTGATGTGGCAGGAAGCCTCACATGAACTACTTTCTCCGCTTCGGTGGATATTTTGAAGATGTCCCCCTTGCCAGTTAGCGTATTAAGTTTCGGCTGTCCTTTTTTTGCCATGTTGTGATTGTAATTTCAGCTACATTTCCAGGGTTAGAGCTGNTTGGCTCATACCTGTGACCATGATTTTCGGAAGGAGTATAAGAATTCCGAGTAAGTTCCTCCGTAAAGAATCGTTAAATAATTCTGGGATGCACCGCTGCAATCCTTTTGATTTTGTATAGCGTGGGACCGGTCTTACTCTTATTATTCGTGGTGTACCAGGACTGATTGATCCGAACGTGTATCGAACGCACGCGCCCAGTGCTGTCAAATGTAAAATTTGATCCCTCCGTTATCAGTTTATTTCATTTTTCCGGACGTCTTACTTTTGATTTTCGACTGATTTTAGTGTGTAAAGTCAAATGGGTGAAGAAAATCCATAACTCTTTTAACTTCGATCAAGCGCTATCAGCATAAGTCTTGGCATTAAGGACGATGGCCCTTTGCACTGTTATCTACGCAGCAGTTGTCACTGATTTTATCTGAATGTTTCAGATTGGAGCGAAGGTTCCGCCGCAAAAAACTCGATCGGGTCGACTCGTCACGAATTCAAAGCGCATGGCGTTCGTTTTCTGACTATCTGTTCGGCCGGAGCAATCGTCAAGCTCTAACGGACAGTAGCAGTTCGGCTGCCAACCTCTCCTACTTTGAGGTCGGTTAGTATATTATAACAACTTTGAGATTCAGGAAGGAGGTCTGAATACTCAGAATTACTTCCACTAAACTTCCTTATAATCCTACAAATAGGATAAGGTTGAAGTAGCATGGAGCTTAAGTCCGCAGAATTCTAACCACTTTTCCGAAATCGACCTGGGATCATTCTTATCGCAAACTTCGGGAGCGTTTTGCTTTCCTCTCTGTCAGCAGCATTGGGAGATATATCATCATCTCTTTTTATGAAGCAAAGTGGAACTGAACTGTGCGCAGAACCTGTTGTGCACGTGAAGTGAAGGGTTCGGCGAAAGAACGACATATAAGAAGTCGACTTCGCAACAATTAGTGTTGAACTGACTGTTGGCGGATTTCATAGAGATCAGAGACACATTCCACGACACGATTAGTTCCGAAGATTGTAGTCTGAACAGAATGATTGGCTCTCAAGGAGGCAGGTGTGGCTAGAAACGGGAAAAAACGTGCCGAAATGGCGCTCATCCTGTCGATCAGCGACCTGAGGGATCTTTGAATCTTAATTCATTGTTTGTTTATCGTAAAAACGACACACCTCTTTTTCGATGACCCAAGTTTCTTCTCTGTAAATAATCTGGCGATACTGATCTGGTCTAAAATTTCTCTTTGTCTTCTTTCTTTTGGAATCTTCAAATGGCTTTTAATTCCCAGGACAATGGCCTGTATGCCAAACGAATATCTCTCTTCTTTTCCCGGATTTTGAGCGAATTACATTAGCCGCATGAAGTATCGTATCGATTGCAGACAATCGGGGATCACCCGAATGTTTTGGTTGTCTTCCTACTTTGTTGATATGAGCAGGTTCAGCGTTTGAATGGTTTACCAATGTGATGGCAGGGGATTACAGAGACATTGAGTACATAACCACATCCGAAGTTGTGAGAATAAAAGTTGTGGTCAACTTGAGGAGGTCTTGATGTGGCGCCACACCGACCCACCGTCACAAGAGCATTTCGGTCACTAGGGGCCTCTTTATTCAACCAAAGGTGTACTTGCTTACTTAGATACTTAGACGACAATTACAATTACGACCCGACTATCAGCACGGAGATTGGCCTTGCGCGGGTCCCAACTTCTTTTCCATTGTTCTCGATCTTGAGCTCTGGTTGTCCAGTGCGTAGTCACCCTAAAAGGCTTCGGATCATAGACGTTGTTTCGATAAGCTAGAGAATCTGCCCATCGTAAAGGAGGACGGCCGTGCGGCCGCTTCTTCTCTCGCGGGTACCATCGTATAGTGACCGAGCTCCATCGTCCGTCCTCTCTTCTCACTAGGTGTCCGGACAGCTTTAGACCCAAAAGACGACGTTCAATCGAAGCCTGGGTGGACATAAAATGTCTTTCCAGTGATTTCGTCAGAGCCCAGGTTTCTACTGCGTAGCTGAAAGCAGGCAACACCGTTGAATTAAATAAGTCTGCTCGAAGTTTGCAGTCCCTAGTGTCCTCCAGTGCGCTTCTTATGGAGTTAAATGCTGCCCATCCAACCTTGCGACGTCTTGCTAACTCTCTAGTTAAGTCGTTCCTCATGTTAAGCTGGCTCCCGAGGTACACGTACTCGTCAACGTCTTCGATAGCACCTTCTCTCAGAAGTGCAGGTAGTACAGTACAACCAAAGGTGTAAGGATGCATATTTTGAGTCTCACTTTCTACCCAAGCAGTTTAACTTAACCACAGCGGTTAAGCGAACTCGGGCGAACTGGACTTATAATGGCAAGGAAAGGGTGAAGTTGAGGTTGTAAAAGCTCAACAGATTTTATGCACTCTTCTATTATGCTCGTACCGCACGTGGTTCTGTCACATACAACCAACCAAAGGACGATACAGTAGTCTTCATTGTCTCTGCGGTCGTTATTTTCCTGCCACCTACCCCTTATGACTGTTTACGACTCCGAAGCTGTAAAAACATCTCCGATAGGGACTAACCGCTGATCATCAACATGACATCATGCGATAGGAATAGCAGCGCCTCGACTGATACACTAACCTTTTTGTTGTCATGCGTCAACTAAACAACAATAAACAGGTTCCGACATCTTTAAAGTCGCTGTCTGGCTGGTGCAGTCGAGTAACAATGTAGAGGAACTGGTTGTCAGCTACTAATAGCCTCTGTCAAACATCCCTAGTTCCTTAGTATGGTTGCCCAAAAGGACGGCTTTCAAAGAAGACTAGCCTAGGGGGAGAAAGAGGAGATAGAAAGTCTTCATAGGTAGTAAAATGATTGGTCAGATTACTTCAGCTGTCAGTGTGGGTTAGGGCACTTTGCAGAAATATCAGCTGCACATGTCTTGCACATGAGCGGGGTTTGTTTTCCGTTCTGCACCAGACACACCTGTCCTTCTTGCCCGTGCACAATGCCACATGATTCGAGATTCATGGTCGCTTGCGATTCCCTCCATCACAGCTGGAGCCAGGGAGTCTGCAGCATTACAGCAAAAAGTTGACGACGTGTCTTTTAAAAGTCAGTTGTCGCCAAGGAAGCACTAATTGCTCTGCGTGGGATGATGACAACGCATTTTGGGTCTTCGCCAAGGCTTATACCGTCCACGATCAAAAGCTTGTTTCCTTATTTGGGAAACTCCTAGTGTCCTCATCGCTTTGCGTTTCAATATGAGGGACTATAGAATTTCCACCCATGTAGGCCAACGAAGGTTCACCTTCATAGATTCTCTCAGAGAATCAGAAACAATAAGACAAGTACTGTAGGGCCGGCTTGTAAAATTCATCCAACGCCTCTGTTTCAGCAGCTGCCATCTGAGTTGCTTTTCAAAATTCTATCTGAAATTCACGACAAACCATCGATATTGAATTGTCGAGCAGTTTGTGATCGATGGCACTACGTTGTGGACAAGTTGGCGATGAACAGCGACGAATTTACCACGGTTGAGGTGAGTTTGAAGCCGAAAGTCGAGGGTTTTTTGTCTCCAGTATTGTACCTTTCCGCTTCTTAAAGCTCTCCCGGCTCGTCATCTCTGGCTTGCCCCGTCGGGCAATTGAAATAAGACGAATCAACTATGGGTCCCAGCAATCGTCAGCAATGGTCGTCTCGCATGCGATGTTGCGACACGATGCGCAGCTCTATTTCAGCTTCGCACACTTCAAAATCCTACGATTAGTTCTCAAGGTGAATCATTCGTTTTCCATCAGTAACTCTGAAAACTTGACAGTCGCATTTCCATTCAGAACCTAGCCCTAACTGATGAATTCGTCGATTTTCTCCGTGTGCAGCTTCTAAACAGTGATTTGTCGTCACTCACTCAGCTTTCACTTCATGCGGTTGACTTCTCCAGTTCGACTTCGTTGACGCTACACCGGCTTCTTGCAATCGTCGCCAAACACCTCGAGATTTTTGAGGTAAGGCTTTATACCAGGGTTCCCATTTCCGACTATTTCTGTCCCATTCCATTTCAGAATCGAGTGCTTGTTGTAATCACAGTCTTTNAGTTGACTCAGTCTACCGGGATGCGTGCCGACAGTATCACGGACGCTCATCTCGCTCAGTTGGATGCGACGAAAATCCGTCGCATAACCATAGACGGTGTTCGCTTTGCGATGCCGCGACGTCGCGCGACATTGCGTGTGGGGGACGAGACGCTACGACGGCTGGCTGAGCAGAGGAGCTTTCCGACGTTGGTGTTGGATCGTTGCAGTGTGACGACCAAGATGGTCTGTGACTACACGGAGGTGAGTGAATTGACGACTAAACCGTAGGGGCCCAGCATGAAAGAGTAATGTTGTAGGGTTGGTTCGCATCGGCCCATGAATCAGAGAAGAGCTTGCGATCCCAGATCTGTACGGTGAAGCGTTGCGCAGCCGTCCGAGGGCCACAGTTCGAGGCCGAGTGCGAGCGAAGAGGTCTGCACTGCAAGCACCGGCGTGGCAGTGGCAGTCTTATTCTTTACAATGTGCAGGCCGAACACGACTTGACGGTACGTCTGCACTGCTTGATTTTCGTGATCGTCTCCTCCATCCATAGTGCGTCATTGCAGCAATTCACTGTCGCCACGGAACCGCTTGAACCAGAAGAGCCGAAGAAGGAATGCGATGTTGAACATCACCCTTAAAATTCCACTCATCACTTGGACGAGTATGCTAGTAATCTCTATTATCTGTTTAAAATTCGGTGAAAATTGTATAGTCTCAAGTTTTTCAAGTTAACATATGTCTTTACTATACTTTGACTATTTCGTAGAACTCAACATGTCAGTACATTCGGGTTATTTCTTTGTGAAGACACTTCTGTAAATAAATTTGATGACTGTTTACATTTCAATTTATTCAATAGGGCTCAGGTTCCAAATTTGTCGCACCTCGTTAATGGTCTCCAGATCGGATTCAAGCAACAAATACCAACCAAGCCTTATGGGTCTGGTCAATTTCTGTTGAGTTTGTCGCTAAAGGGGCATAGTATAAATGCAAATCCCATAAAGCGTGCATGATTTTTATAAAATGCAATGTAGTATGGATGCAGGGCGCATCAAGTTCAGTTCACATTTTCTTCACGCTCTTCTAAAACTTTGGTTCATATTGCGAGTAGTAGGCCCGCAGATTTTGGCGAATGCAGAGTTAGCCCATGTGAGCCGTCCGAGAAGCACTGTTTGTTCTTCTTCTGAAAGCATCGGCAGAGGACGATGATCTGAATTCCTCGAGACCAACTTCGGTGCTACTGTGGCCTTCTGGGAATGCTGAAGATGGCTAGGGCTGACTACGCCGGCTACGGGGAAAGTCCGATCCTATCGTTCATGAAAGTAGGTCACGCCGCATACGTCGCACGCGGCGCGGCTCACCGCGATTTCGAGATGGACACGGTTCCAATCGTGAAGGGGTTCTGCGTTTAATTATTTTACAGCGCGCGGGTGTTTGAGCAATTTAGATTGTACCATTGAGAATGAATGCGATGTGCTTGTAGAAGAAGCAAAGTGAAGTAGAATAGGGCGTCTCAAGTTTTTTCTCATTAGAGAATAAAAACTCTGAAACGAAAGCTCTGAACGAAAGGAATGTTGAACCTCGTGTCCCTGAAGCGAGAACGGTTCACTGGACCACTTTGGCTCGTGACAGGGACGAATGGAGACGTTACTGGCGCCCGCTCGAGGATTTCGATGATCAACGGGACGACAGGTGATACAGGTCAGAGAATAAAAAAGTTTGAAAATGAGGCAGTAAAGTAGTGGGTTGAAGAAGATTTCTTACTAGAAACCGCTGCAGCGCCGATGTTGAATTCAAATGTGGGCGCGCGGGAAAATATTCGAACTGCGAAACTCATGCTAACTTTGAACGTGTTCAACTTGAGAACGCAGTAGGCGGCGCGACGCGTGCGGCGTGACTTGGTTTCATCGACGATAGGAACGGAGCGCACCCATCGACTACGTGAAGAGAAAATTATGAAGTGCTGGCGCTGCTGGAGAATGATCTTGATGTAAGTCGGTTATTGTTGGTTTTTTTGTTACTTATGAACACAATTGCATATGACCTTGCATGAATTGTTCAGATTTTTCTTTGCTATACTCTCAATTTTTCGTGTTTTCTTTGCAGAGGTGCCGCTCGAATAAGGTGCGATGTCGCAATTTTGTTGCCTTCAGGTTCTTCAGGTAGGCGACCACAATGATCTCAGAAAATGTTGGATCCTTGTGTATATTTCGTAGCTTCTACTCAGAGTAATATATTTGCAAGTTCTGAACCCATCTTTTCAGAAGATCCGCACCAACAACTCCCAACCTTCGGATAAAATGTCGCAAACGTACCACAGCACTGCCTGCAGAATTAGACAGTTAGTTGAACTTTCCGAATGTCTACGAATTTTCAAGAGTCGCCCTTCTGTTTCCTTACAAATGTTAATAAACAGAGCGATTCCAGTTTTTTTCTTTTAAGGAATGCCGCCAGCCAATTACCGTTGCTCTTTTGAAGCCGCATTAGATCCACGTAGTATGGTGGCACTTATTCTTCCCATGATTAGGATCCGCTTTCATGGACTCATTGAAAGAGTTAGTTTTTTACATCACGATAGTCTAAAAGATTTTGAGATTGGTATGGGTGGATGATGCGCGCCTTTTGGACGGGCTAAGGATAATCTTTAAATAGCTAGAAATGAGATTTTATGCATGAAAAGCACCCCTTCCAGTAGATGGCTTCTCCGGTTTCCATGGCATCCTACGGCTGGTCGAAGTGGCAACGCGTGTCTTCAACAGTACTGATAACTATTAGGTCGTGAAGAAAGTTCTTGCGGTTTTGCGCCTCAAACTTCAAATGCATATATCTCAGCTTGAACGAAACTTCATCAATCGAAATAATAACCATTACTATCGACACACTTTTGTTAACGAAAAACAAGTTCGAGTATCCCATTCGCATAGAAGTTTGGAAATCTAGAGGCGATGAAATCGTCGAATGCCGTGGCAGCATCATGTTGGGTTTTGAAGCATTTCTCCTTGAGAAAGCGTTGAGATGTTTAAAGAAATGGTAATCTATGGGAGCAAGGTCTGGGGAATATGGTGGATGCGGGAGAGCTTCATAGCCTAGCTCCATCAATTTTCTCAGGGTAAGTTGTGCGACGTGAGGCCGAGCGTTGTCGTGGAGTAGAATTGGTCCCCTCCTATTCACCAGTGCCGGGCTCATGAGCTGGAGTTTCCGATGCATTTCGTCAATTTCTTGGCAGAACTTTTCGGCTGTTACGGTTTCTCCCGGATCCATG